ATGTGTTTTCCCTCTTCAAAGGGATATATAGAAGTCACTTATTTAATGGTTGGAGGATTTTCTTGGAATTTGAAACCTAAGGTTGTTAGCAAGATGTTAAAGGCTTGTTTTATTAAATGCACACAAGCATAGACTTTTTTTTCCTTCTGTAATCTCTGCACAGGACAGGTCTGTGAGTCAAATAAAAAGCTGTTTGTCATTATGCTTGCCATTACACTAAGGGTTTTTCCTCTAGGAATGTTGTGTGCGTGGGTTTGGATTTTTTTTTTTTTTCTGGCTTACTTTTCAGTTTGATAATGTGTTCTTGTTTTTACATTAAACTTGTCAGTGAGCTGTTTTGTGTGTGGCTGAGTTTGTTAGTATTTATAGCTTCAGTCTATTTGTGAGGAAATGACTAAAGTCTCTTGCATTGGATCAAAATTGTATAACAAAGAACATCTTTGACTTACTTAAAGAAAGACTATGATGAAAACTCAAAAAAAATATAATGGTTTGTGTTTATAAATGTTTTTATGTATTCAGTACCCGGTTGGGCTAGAGAATTGGAGCTCTGTGTTGAGGGAGGGCTTGACATATACTCAATGCCTCTTAGTTAATGTGAGTTTCCCTGGAGCAAGTTCAGGCAATGCTTACTTTCTCATAATGCTCCTTTCTTTCTTTTTCTTTCCTTTCCTTTCTTTCTTTTTTTTTTTTTTTTTGCATTTTGCATGTTGTTTTGAATTGGGCCTTGTAGAATGGAGATTATTTATATTTCTTCTCTTTAAACTATTCTACTAATTTTCTCCTTTCTCGTTCCTACCTGAGAGCCCTGACATTAAGTGAAGCATGTAAACCTTGCCCATGTAATTTCAGAAGGTGGGGATTGGATTGCGACAAGGCCTGGGGTGAGTGAGGGACAGAAGCCCCTCTCTCCCTATCCCTAGGATATCCATGGGCTTTCCCCACCCTACTCTCACCCCCTTGCTGTTGGTTCAGTCCCCAAGAAAGTGCAGTGTTGGTCCTTCTGCTTGTCATTCCAAGGCAGGAGACAAAGGGGCTGAGTAGGGAGGAAGAGAAGGCCTAGCTCTGACCTGGCCTAGTCACATCTTCCCATGAAGGCCCTGTGACAGGTGCTGGTTGAATTTTGGTGTGTTATGAACTCACTGGGGTTTTTTGCATTAGCTTCTAATCTTATTATTTTGGGGTTATATTGATTGTTTCAACCCTTTGAACCCAACTAAACCTTAGCTCAAGGCACGAAACAGATAAAGGGGAAATTGCTCTGCCCTCTCCCACATGTCCTTCCACTCCAGCCTGTTCTCAGAAGCACGTACAGGGTGGTGTTCCGAGGAGCTCACTTTGAAAATTGCTGATTAATATAATTGTTTACTTTTGGAGCACATGCCAGTCTTAAAGTCAGTTTGCTGATGTACATTATCATCACATACTGCAAATTTGCCGGGATTGGTGTATATATATTGACCATATATGAAGTCAGCTGTAGGAGAAGGCAGAATGGACAGATGTTTCCCTGTTGTGATTTGATGGGGTGCTGAGAAATTCCATCAAGAGAATCTGTAAACCCCCACCCCCACCCCATTCATACCTGAAATGCCAGTGTCAATAAATGCACTTTATTTCGGTGTTAAGCATCTGTCTTTTCTGAAGCACTTAAAAAAATTTAAAATAGCCTCGGGAAGCATATGCATTAAGATGTTACAGCTTTGGAGCTGATCCTGTTGCTTCCCTGCTTGATTGCACAACTGGGGTTACTGAATCCTCAAAAGAGGAGTTAGAGAAGGAAACAGCCACTTTCTTACATCATGGCTTTGGCTAGGACTGGCCCTGACTATATGTGCATTTGAAAAACACGGTGCATAGCAATGTGTCTTATGTTTAACTTGGCGACACCTGGCTTTCTTTTTATTTATTTTTATTTATTTATTTGAGACAGAGCCTCAAGCTGTCACCCTGGGTAGAGTGTCATGGCATTACAGCTCACAGCAACCTCCAACTCCTGGGCTCAAGCGAGTCTCCTGCCTCC